AAACCTTGAAAAAATTAAATTACATCATCTCTATCCAGATGGTCTCTATTAGTCCTGAAACGTTTCAAAAAGTACCTTTCATAAAATCCAAACTTCTATAGGTGTCTTTTGAAGGGATCAAACAGAAGAAATGGTCCTTTCCTTGAATTTTCATTATTTTATACGATCATTAAATCGTTAATGCCGTAACTTCCAAAAAATATATAGCTAAGTCGCATTTAGAAGACACCATGACAAAAAGCTATCACAATAAATAGCGTTTATACGACTAAGTACACAGATAGTCGTTTTATTGAGACATGCCCAGTCTGATAAATCAGGCTTTGATCGCGCATCAGCCAGAGTCAAGGTTAAACGTGTTCCCCAGGATTACAAGGAGGGGTTTAACTCCTCTCGTACACCAAGACTTTCCAGCCCGGGCTTGGTTGGGGTCCCCAGTTTGAGGGGCAGGTTTATGTTTCCATTCTAACGCGTTTTGCAGCGAGCTGCCTGAGACGCCCCACGCCGACATCAACTATCGCTTGAAGCCGGGCCCTGCGCTGCCCGCCGGGCTCTCAGACCTCTGCTCTGGCAGTTTGCAGTTCAGCGAGGACTGTGAAGGAGGGAGGGGCGAGGGAGGGCGAGGGAGAGCGAGGAAGAAATAAAAAATAAATTAATAATAAAAACGTAGCGCCGCTGTAGCCAATTCCCAGCGCCGCCAGGGCGCGGAGGGGCGGCTGCCAGCAGCGGCGGGCGGCAGCCCGCGCCCCTCGGGCGTGTTCCCGCCGCCTCCCGCCCCGGCCCGCTCCCTCCGCGGCCCCGGGCGGTGCCCGCTGCCCCGCCGGGCCGGGTGCCCCGCACCGCTGCCGAAACCCCGGGCAGACCCCGCAGCTGCGCTGCGCTCGTGCGGAGGAGGAGGTCGGAGAGCGGGGACGGGGTGTGGAAGGAGGTGCTGGCACCGTCTAAATCCGCTCGCTTTAAGGCCGGGCTTTCCGGACCGGAGCAGCTGGGAGCAGCGAGCTCCGCTTCTGCGAGACTAAGAGGGAGAGGCTTCCCCCACCTTCCCTAAGTCACAATTAATCCGACCCCACCTTCCCCAAGAGCAAATAAAAATTTCTGGAATTGCACAGCTTACCACCATGAGGAGGTGACGGGTGGGGTCGCCCAGATCAAGACCAAGGGAAGAGACCACCAGATCCCAGGGAGAAAGTTCATGTTAGAAACGCTTCGGTCCACATCAGGTCAGTTGCAGGGGGCAGAAGAAATCCCATGGAGCAACAAGGACGAGCAGGGGCAAACGCAGCTTGAGGGCTACTTCTTTCCCGTGGGTCAAGCACCTTCGCATCCCCACGCGTGATCGCGGGGCTTACTGATCCCCTGGAGGGATTCGGGGGATGCCGGTTGGTGCATCGCTCTGGATTCCTCTCGGTTCGCCCTGCACCAAATCCCTCAGGACGTGGAGTTCAGCCCCGCTCCCATCCTTCATCTTTGCCCCGATCCAGCTCTTCCCTGCAGTCACGGCAAAACTGAGGGGCTGGTGTGGGCTGCTCTCAGATTGGGTGGGTTCTGCTTTGGTTGGTGTTTTTTTTTTTTTTTCCTCTGAAACTCTGATGGATGAAATGATGTCAAGAGACACTGGGGGAAGAGGAGGAGGTAACACCTCTGATTAGGCAAGGAATCCCGAGGAGCCAGTTGCTTTCCAATAACCCTACAAGCAGAGAGTGAGTTCAGACCCGCCAGCAGATGCTACACGACCTGCTGCGGAGCCGGCGGTGGCCCCGGCAGGCTGTAACAGACCGGCAGCACTTGGCACCTCTCGGGGTTTGGCACGACGGCAATTCATGGCTGGGTGCGTGCACCCGCGAACACCGAGCACGGAACGGAACCGCGATGCGGTGCTAGCAGAGAACCACAGCAGTCCCGGTATGGGGTGGACACCGCCCGGCCGCCACCCCTCGCCACGGGCCCCGCAAAGCCGGGGCGGCTTCTCCGCGGGCACAGGCGCCGGGGCGCCTCCGTCCCGGGCGTCCCCCCGCAGCGCGGGGAGCCCCGGCCCGCGGGGGCGGAACACGCGCCCCATCGCTGCACCCCGGGATGGGCGAAGCCGCCGCAGCGCTCCCCGGCCCGAGAGGCGACCGGCGGCCCCCGCCCCAGAGAGGGGCGACGCCGCCGGGACTGGAAGCAAAGTCGAGACTAAGGGATTTAGCAACTTTTTAAGTTCGTATCATCTCTGTCTGCACAGCAAATACAGGGTAACGCATATTCTAAACAACGAACCCTCATTATCAAACTGGAGATGCCCCACTTCCGAGACAATGTTCGTTGGCTGAAAAAAAGACAAATGCCCAAGGCTGCTATGTGAGTTAGGGACTACACGGCTCTTGTTACTAAAAGAAGCCTGCAGTTGTTAACTCCAGGTGAAAATCTGGAAGAGCAAGCAAGGAAGCACCCTTTAAGAGCTGTTCTTCAGGCTGCATATTACATCCATTCTCGTGTTTCTCGGTACAACTTCTCAAGATTTCAGACACTGATCTAGACGTAGGCACTGTTTCAGAAAGAAAATGCAAAAGGCAGAATTATGTGAAGTTTTGACGTGCTAACATTCACCTACTACTAACTTAACTTGAAAGAAGTACCACAAACAATCCTCAGAAATCAACACCAAACACCCACCCACAACTGCAATGTCAAGATCTTTTGACTGCAAAGACTTCCGAGTAAGATATAATTGAAGCTTGGGACACATGAATGCTTCTATAACAGTACTTACCCAGAGGCAACTACAGCTCCACTTGCTAACTCCAGCAGGTGTTAAAAGCAACAGATGAGCATTCAGCATCCATTTGATAAAATGTAATCAGTGTAAAAACACTCCAATTTTTAGCTTTTGGCTGACTTATTTCTTACATTTACAATACACTTTGGATCATTTACCAGGGCAGAGAAACACCAGTGAGGACAGCAAATTCCAGCAGTATTTTAGACCCATACAAAGAGAGGCTACAATCCTCCCTGCTATCAGCTTTCTCAGGCTTGCAGTAAAAAACTGACTTCTTAGAATTTCTCACACCCTTCGGTATTAATAGGAGCTCCTTCACCTGCGGATACTGGCATTAGTGGCTTATCAACGATATCCTTTCCCCCTCCATTAGTCATTTACCCCATCTGCATTCCAGTTTTGCTGCTAATCAGATTATTTCCTCAACCCCTCCGCTTTGTGCCAGCCCTACAGAAGTTCACCTTGGCTCTATTATTTCTACTAACAACCACACCCTCGTTATAGATAATGACGAAACAGGCACGTTTGGAAAGGAACCTGGGGGACCACACTGGTTTTGCATGGCCATGCTTAGGTGGCAGGGGGCCATGGGGTGGTTTCTGTGTGAAGATGCCAGAAGCTTCCCACATGTCTAACAGCCAATGTCAGCCAGCCCCAGGATGAACCTGCCACTGGCTAAGGTCAAGCCCACTAGTGATGGTAGTTGCACCTATGAGACCACTATTTGATAATGCAAAAAAACCCCTCTGCAACAGCAATTGTGCCAAAGAGTGTGTTGGACAACATGAGAGGAACAGCTGTGAAGACACCCAGGCCAGTGAAGAACAATGGGGAGAAGGTTCTCCAGCTGCCAGGGGAGATTCCCAAGCAGACCATAGTGAGTCAGGCTGTCCTCCTGCAGCCGACAGAGGTCCATGGTGGAGCAGAGATCCACCTGCAGTTTGTGGAGAACCCCATGCTGGGTTGAAGGAGGCTGTGACCGTGTGGGAAGCCCATGCTAGAGCAGGGTATCCTCACTGGAGCAGCTCATGAAGAACTGCAGCCTGTGGAGAGGACTCACTCATGCTGAAGAAGTTCATGGAGGACTCATGACAGGGAGGGCTGGTTCCTGATGCAGCCTGGAGAGGCTGCTGGCCTCCCTTGCTGCAAGAAAAGCCTGAATCTAGGAATCCGTAGCCGTCTTCAACAAGTATTATGTGCATAGTTTCTCATACAGTTAAGAAATCATTCCATATGCAACACAGACAACAGTGGAGTAGCCAGAGCACAGAAAGCCCCATTTGCTGCACACCTTCTGAAATCAAACTGAGATTTTTCAATACAATAATGAAAATAATGTAGTTAAATCTGTATTCCTACCTTCAAAAAAAACTATTTTCAGGAAAGATGAAGGCATGGAAGGCTAATCTGAAATTTTATTCAAGAAAAACCCCACAAAACTCTTGAGCACATCTTCCTGTATATATTACAGCCAGTAGCACATCTTAAAAGAACAGAAAATCCTTTTCCAGAGGTATCTCTGTAAGTCCCACTTCCAGGAACTATAACTCTATATTATATGAAACTACACCATTTGGATCAGGATAAAAACTGTAAGTAATTTATCAGCTATTAAACCTGCTGAGGTCGCATAATTCATTTCATGTCAGTAAAACCCACTGTCATATCTCACTTGGATCTCAATGCAGCCCCATTACCTGAAAATTCTTATTTCTGGAATGAGGGAATTAAAATTTTCAAATATACACTTCTCCCCCACCTCCAGAACAAAGAAATGACAGCACATGTCCTGAAAAGCAGAAATCTGCAGTTTGGATACCTGTTAAGCCTTCAAGGCTTTGTAGCCTTGCTACCTACTAACAGGTATCAGAACTGTAGTCTCTGCACATAAAGATCCAAAGCAACATTTGTAGTACTTTACAGTATGTATTACTATATTTCTAGTAACACAGGAGTTTTATTTGGGAAAGACAACCTGTAGCTTTTGCAGAACTGGTGAAAGAGAGAAGGCAAATGCAAACCATCACCTACTCACAAGGAAGTGATAGCTTTGGGAAGCACCTGTAAGGGTTCAAAGACAACAAATGAAAGAAGAATAAATTGCACATTTTAAGTCCTGTCCTCAATAAGGCACTTGGATGAAATAAAAGAGAAACACATGTTAAGGTTAGTGGAGAATATAGTAGAAAAAGCACCTCACACTCAGTTTAAGAATACACATATGCCAAAATGCTCTTTATTACTTTTAATTGGCTATCAGGAATAATTAAAGGTGATGCCTTACATTGCAAGGGAGATACTGCACAAGTCAAATTTAAAGGGCAAGGCAAATCCCAAAGCACAGAAGAGAGACACAGGATACACAAGTCACAGCCTTAGACAGAAAATTTAAAACAGAAATCTTGCAGGTCCTTCAGATCTCCATGGGATTGTCCAAGACCCTGATTTTACACAACAGCCCATACATTCAGGAAAGGCCATGGTATGAATAGTAATCTCTATGAAGACAAGTTAGGTATGCAATGACGTTTCAAGTAGGAACCTCACTGCATCTTTAAGCAACCAGGTACCCCAAAGGATTTGGCCCGAGGTCCAACTCACTCAATCCTCAGCATTTCAATTTGCACTACTGTGGGAGGAGAACAAGAGAAGCAGGGCTGTGCAGTTTACCTGCTTAATACATGCAAAGCTCTTTAGCATTCTCCTCCAATCCCCTCATAGATGTGCAAATCATTGTATTCTTACTGTTCTAGGATAATGACTGCAATTTGATGGCTTGCAGAAGGAGGCCTCTCAGCAGGGACATTTTCATATGAAGGCTCCCTTAGGAGGTGCTGGTGGGGGTAAGAATTCTGGAAGTGTAGCTCAAGAGTCAGATGTTGAAGGAATCTTTCTCTTTGCTTCCTGCTCTATCACTACCATATTGTGACACCTTGTCAGAGAATTTGAAAGAGGCACTGCAACAACACGAAAGTGAATAAAGGATATCAATATATCCTTTATTTGAATAAATATGAAATCCATCATCTAAGCCCAAGTTTGGAATCCAAGAAGGTAAATGCAATTTTATTATTTTTTTAATGATATGGTATGTTAAAATATTCTTTGTTCATTTGGCTCTTAAAATGTCCTCCTCATGCAACATAGTTTCTGATTGACCAATTAATGAAAACAAAGTGGTTACTCCAAGACTCTTGCTTCTTGTGAATGGTTTACGGAATTTTGGATACTATACTTGAACAGTACAGGATGCCAAGGATACTGTTAGCACAAAGCTTATGTTTAACTCAAATGATGCTCACATGTGTGCTTGCAATTGTGACTACAAGCATCAGAAACAGGTGACCCATAAGATAATTCAAAAAGACCAGCTTCTTCCAAATGTATTTTGGACATCTCCTGAAGTTCAGACCTTTGACTCACTTCTGCAAAAAAA